GATCTCTATGTTTTTTTCTTTTTTTCCAATTCCACAAAATTAGCTTCTTTCATGGCATCAAATATTTCCTCGACAGCACGTCTTCATGCCTATCAAAAGATCTCACCAATGCCATTGGATACCCCATTCTAGATCCCAACTACTACAAATGGCAACTAATAGACTAAAAACTTATCAAATCTCTTTACTCAAACATCTATGACTCTATCTTTCCTCTTATCCTAAGCCTCTAATCTATCGCTCATATTGAGCGAATCTAATAAGAAATGACCTTAATATATATATATATATATATTTCCTAGGTCATTCAACTCGTATCAAACTTGGCAACATTTTCATTAGAACATAACAATTTTTCAATATCTATTGGTGATTAAAGCTTTGGCAGACAACAACATTGCTGTCAATTTCCACATCAATAATGAAGATATTAATCTTTACACTTTAAATGGCCTACCATCATACGACCAATCTTTAAAAAATGATATCAACACAAAACTCGAACCAATTAGCCTAAATGGTCTAATTTTACTCTTATGTACTGAAGATATCAACATTGTGACCAAAAACATCAAGGAACATTACAATTCTTAGCTTGCTCTTGACACCTATCATGGCCAAAGTGCTCGAATTAGTTATGTGGATGTGGGAGAACCTCAAGTGATGTCTCTAAGAGGGGAGGCACACATTGATCTTTGACAGGGGAGATCGATCCTCATTTACCTTTGTGATTTGTTAAAATTATGAAAAAGGTGGACACAATACGATGATTTTATAACACCTATAAAGTTAGTGTATCGTTCTACCCATTTTGACCCAACTAGATTTAAGGTAATCCGTTAAATTTATGTATTTTAACACTTTTACATGTATCTGAAAATATTTTGAGAATTTGCATGTATTTTTTCGTGGGTCTTAGAAGTTTGTTCGAATGTTTAGAAAATATCTAAAAAATTTTCTCTAGGGCACCAGACCCTAAGCTCTCTGGAATTATAAAAAGAAAAATCAGTGGGACGGTGTTGGAGGTGGCGCTACGATGTTTCGATGTTGTGGGGCCCAAAGGGAGCGTTGTGGCTGAATTGTTGGGCATCACAACACTCAGCCTAAATTCTTTATTTAAATACTAATTTCACTAAAAGCCAATTTATTTATTCTTTAGGTCTACTGGCTAGTGAGACAGAGAGATAGATAGATATAACCTATTTGGGCTACTTCGGGTTTTTATAAGTTGAAGGTCCAGTTTTGAAAGTTATTTAGATCGAGATAGTGATATTTTGCCTATTATAGTTTTCAAAAATACGAAAATTTCTATAATTCTTTTATTTAATTTATATTTATGTAATTTAAAAATAAGAATAACTTTACACTAGAAAAATTTTTGTCGTGTAACTTTTTATATGTTATAGAGACAAATATTATGAATATTTAGATATTTTTCTAGAATTTTACACCAAAGATTTTTTTGAACTATGCTATTTTAATTTATTGGAAAATAATGTTTAATTAAAAAAATAATGTTATTGTACAATTAAAGTCTTTAAATAATATTATGAACAATCTTTGATAATTTGATTATATTTTGAAATAATGAAATTCTTTACAATAGTGTATAATGTTGCCTATCGTTAAGTCATTTTGACAATTTCTGAAATAATTTTGTTTACATTTTTGTTACTACAATGAAATGAGTTATGTTCTTATCTGATCGAATAATGTGATTTTGAGGAGATATGGGGTGGATGGAGTAAGTTCTTTTCTGATGTTTAATGTATATTATGGTGTTAGACATATTCTAGTATTGTATGCACACTCTATTTTGTTGTGGGCATTAGGTGATTTAAGAGTCATAATTCTCTGAATTCTATATGTTTAAAGGATAAATGCCATTTTTATTTTAATTATCTGATATGAGGTGCTTGTTTATTTATTTTTCTAGTATTATTATTTAAATTCATGAGAATCGCACCTACTGTTTTGCTCAACGCAATGATTTATTATGTTATTATTAATACTCAATTAAATACTTACTAAAATTAATTACTTAATATTCAATTTAATTGAAAATTTAGATTGGTAAATATGGCCTATTGAGCATGCTGAGCTATGTTAAATATGAAAATGCAATAAAATTAGTTTTGAGGAGAATCAAATAGTTAAAATTAAAATATTTGAAAAATAGAGATAGGATTAGAATCACCTGCAGTGATATGAGAAATTTCTATAAAAGCAGCAAAATGATCTGGTCGCTAAAAATTAGCTTTCTTCCCTTTACTCCGTTGTGTTGCAATTTAAACAGAAATTTAGATTTTTCTATTTTCAATTATTATTTTTTTTATAAATTCAGATTATTACATCTACCTCCTCCCACCCAACTTTCGAATATAAGAAATTCTAACAATCAACGCCTTATCAAAGCAATGAATAATTACTAGTGTCAATGGTCTTTGATAAGGTCTCCACCCTACTCCCATCATAATATTTTTCTACCTCATCTTCTTAATGTTCTCAAACTTTACACAATCTTCTATTCAAGGTCGGCTATCTCTTTGAACGTGGTTGATTACAATATTAAGTCCGGATATCTCAAAAATTATTCAAACTTGTACATTCTAATGTTCATCCCGATTCACTCTTTACAATGACATAAATAATATATATTATTTATATATTTCTTATTTATGCTAGATTTTTCCTATGATTCCAAATTCCAAAACTATAGTTAAAGTCATACAATTTCAAAAAACTAATTGAAAATAAGTTCAATTTTCGAATATTTTTTTTTGTTCTAATGGAAGGAGCGAATACAACTCACATACTATTCACAATCACCTGGAATCCTTCACCAAAATAGCTATCCATATACTCCTAAGCAAAATGGTACAGCGGAACACAAACATTTTGACATCATTGAAACCAGCATAACCTTTCTTACCATAGCACACATACCATATAATTTGTATGTTGATGAAATATTAAGCTTAAAAGAATGAGTCCTTATTTCAAGCTTTTATGTGCATTCACATCCGCAAGACTAAAATCAAATACTTTCTCAACCAAGCAACTTATGCAACATATATCTTAAAAATATTCAATGTATTAGACTATAAACTTGCACCCAACTCTTTACAGCCCAATATCAACCTTGATACTCCCCTTAATAATACTTTGATAATAGTTGTCTAACAAGAAAGTTTATTTAAATAATAATCATCCTCATTTACATAATTGTTAAAATAATTTCAAGATTCTAAGCCTTTGTTAGGGACCACTTTCTTACTGCTTCTTAAAGCAGCTTTCTAGTACAAAATTTTTAATTTTTGTTCTAAAAAGTTATTTTAAGAAACAGTAAAAAAACCGTCCCAAATGAAGCCTAAGTCTATCATCAAAACTTATATAAATCATAATAAGCAAACATGTCTAAACTCTATCTTAAATAAAACTATACACCAAAATTGTACATCTAAAATATCAAAACCCAAAGCTTATTTTCTTTCTACTTTAACCATTATTTTACCTGAAATAATATTTAATATAATAGAGTATGAGTAAAACTCAACAAAATAAACAATTTAAAAACAAAAAGTAATTAGCATAAAAGCTTTTTTCATATCTTATCTCATATGCCAATTGTATCCTTGTATAAGAAATGTCTACAATCAAGTTTAAAAGGCAGGTGATGAAATTTAGTTTATAATCAAGTTTATTTTTGATAATAGAATTTCAATAAAAACTACTTTTATCAAATTAAAAGTGCATATCTTATCTAATTGACAATATTGACGAAAAGCCCCTGAATCGACTATCTCAATAGTCAATATCATGGTCCCAAAACCTCTTTCGTTTGTAGACAATATTACATCAGGTTCTTACACATACATTGGCAATACACTTGCCTCATCGAGTGCACACAAACATAAAATCATTGCTCGTCCCTCCACCGAAGCAAAATATAAAACCCTCGCGCCTGCCACCACAGGCATCATTTGGTTACGTTGCCTCATTCACGAGTTCAATATTCCGGCTCCTCATCCCACTCCACTCTACTGTGATAATACCTCTGCCTTGGTGATCGATGACAAGCAAGTTTTTCATGAAGCACATTGAGATTGACTATCACTATTACGGAATCACATTTCTACAAACTAAATTACCATCAGACATACAAACTCTCAAGTCTAAAGCCCAAATTGCCGATATTCTCACAAAGTGCTTATCAACTCCCCACTTCCTAAAGCTTTGACTGTTTGACACAAGTTAACACATCCAACATCGAGATCCTTTGCTTGAGGACAAGTAAAAACATTTTTTTTTTCAGCAAATGGAGCGGTTATATACCACTGGCTTTTCAAACATATAAAGAAGCACATTTGCTTCTCTAGAACTCTGAGAACAATCAAATAAGAACTTTGGCTTTTATCTCATAGTGAAAAATCTCTTCTCCTCATCCTTATTATGTTCCTCACCTCATCTGTGTATCTAATTTCGATTCATGCAGATCAAGATTCTTTCATATAGATAATTATGATTTAATATTATTTATTAATGCTTACTTAAAATTAATGCAATTTAAATAATGTTGCAATTTTTTTTAATTAACTTATATATAATTAAAATATTGATTAGTTTATGATTATGATGTTAGCTTATTTTGTTTAATGTTTAAATAAAATTAATTAGGATATTTATATTAGCATAAAAAATTATGAATTAATTTTATTTTTCTATTTTTTATTTTTGCTTGCGATTCCAATTTTTATGAACATGTGATATAAATAATTACTTAAATATATTATAAGCAAAATAATAAAAGAAAATCAAAGTAAGGCAAAAAAAAAAAAATCCTCAAGAAATTCGGATAGGTTAGAATTTTAATTAAAGCTCGAACATGAACTTTCATAAAATTTATTTTTTTATAATATATATTTTTGAGGGTAAACACTATAACTTAAAATTTGATAATTTTTTTTTTTTAATTTTTTTATTTAACGCTTTCTTGACCTTTACGGTGACCTGATACCGAATCGAGGGTTTCGGGCTCGCGGCTTCTGTAAGCAGGTTTGGCTGCCGTTTCGCGAAGGCTCCCAAGTCTTTCGCTGGGACGAAGTGGAGCAATGGGGGAAATACTGATGGTCCCTGCACTGGGAAGAATTTTGCTCGGCCTGCTTCTACTGGCTTCTTTTCTCTCTGCTCTCGGATCTTCCTCCCCTTCGCCAGATGTGCGGATTCTCAGTGCCGAGAGGAGGGTAAGTGTTCCATCTTCCCTAGTTCTGCTCTCGACTTATGATATGAAAATTAGATCTTTCTTCAAGCCTCCGAAGGCTCTTTGATCAGTGTGTTGCCATGTCGTTCAAAAAAAAAGTCAATTTTGTGGAATTCCATCTATGTAATTTTTCTATTTATACTTATAAATGTTGTATTTGGTTTTGTGATGCGAACAAAAGATAAAAACATAGAAAGCGATAGACAATATTGTATTAATAGGATAAGTAGACAATATGTAGTTTGTCTAAAGCTACAGGTAGTGAGAAGGAAAGGGATTCATCTAATTGTAGTATCCCCACAACTCCAGGTATTTTGGGGAAAGAGTGAGCGAATCAAAGGCTCCTTTGCTTCTACATGTATGCTTGATGCTCTAAATATCTCTAAAAGTCTTATTTATAGCATGCACGAAAATCTCAAGTCTTATTAATAACCCAGTACAAATTAATTGACCTAGTTACCTAAAACTCAATAAAAGACCCATTTATATTTATTCGTATTATTTTGCTTTTTTTTATGATATCATGTTTGTTATTTTACATCTTGTGTTTTCTGCCTTTTATCTCATGTTTTAAAAATGTTTTTGTTGGGATTTCATACAATGAATGCAGATTTTTGGATAAACAACCGGCTTTATCTTATGCTATTCTGATTTGTTTTCTTAAATGCTAAACTGATCTTACTTGAAGAAAGGCATTAATTTGTGATCATCGAATAATGATTGTTGGTTCCTTTCAAGTTTAGGGTTTTTTGACCTTTCAGCTTGAAGATCAACTTCAAGCTCTTGGATTGGATGAGTCATCCTTCTTATGAGAAGCCAAAAGGCCATCTTTTCTTGCTTTAAAATAAAATAAAGAACCTTGGACATGGGCTTTATCTTCTCCCCATTTGTTGAAAATTATTAGAAAATCCCTGAACATTATGATAATTAATGACATTTGAATAAATAAAATACTATTAAGATTGTGTGGAAATTTCAGAGGAAGGAGAGTCATTTTTAGGTTTGAAAAGAAATTTGATCTCTATAGATTATCATCATGACAAAGGATCTTACTTGACTTTCAACACTGTGTTAGGAAGGTCATGCAAGTATGTTGTGGTGATAGCATGTGGTACTCAAATATTAATTCTTAGGTAAAGAATTAAAGTTTGACACATATGAGTGAGAAAAGATTAAGGATTTTACATTCAGAGGCAAACTTCTTTATTTGAGAATTTTGATATATGGGTTTTGCAAGGTTTGTATTCTTAGGAAGTATAGGAAAGTTAGTTTCTCAAAGGCTATCAAGGAACCCACAACTCAATAGGTGGGTTTCTATGTAAAATATCATTTGTGATCCATCATCTGTGAATCTCTTCGTAGCTCATTTTAATTCATCTTCTTAATTAACGACTCCACAACGAAAAATAGATTTGATGCCTTTGATCACTTCGTAATTAAAAGTGGTAGAGCTCAGCAAAAAAATGAAGATGATGTTAAGTATTTTAGGTTAAACAATGCAGGAAATTATGACAATAGGGAGTTGAATTAGTTTTATCCAACTAATTTTATCTATATGTACATTAAAGTTCTAAGAAGACCATAGTAGAATATGAATTTGCCTTTTTCATGGATATATATCAATTTGTAGATAGATAATGGTTAGTTGCGATTTAAATTCTTTCCCTTAATTCATGCTTTTGAAGCAATTCATGTGCACTTTTTTGGTCATCCAATTTCATCTTCAGCTCTTTTTTACTTAAGACTTATGAGTGCTAGAAATGCTTATAAATAGGTGTAACTTTGGGTTAATAGGTTGGGCTTTGATTTGACCCAAATATAAGTAAACCAAACTTGATCCATTTATTAAATTGGTTTGAACTTTTAACCGAACCAACCCAAAATGGGTGCACAACTTGAAAAAAAAATACATTTTAATGATTCTTAATAAAAAATATAAAATCACAGTCCAATGTATTATTTCGTTATTTTCGTGTTGATTAGAACCCGATCTAATCTGATTTAAACCTGCTCATTTTTTGTTTTTCTTGGTCAATTAAGTTGAATTGAACCCAACTTGAATCTTACAGGGTTGAGTCAAATTTGAAAATTTTTTGTTAGGTTTGAATCGGATCTAATTTTGATTCTCAGACAAAATATGTTGTTGACAATGATGATTGTTGCAATATAGAGACAAACATGAGGGTACGAGAAGCATGTTTGATTGTGCCAAGAACAAGCATGATAGTGCCAAAGTCAAACATGGCAATGTCAAAAGCAAACGTTTTGGTGTTAAAGGCAAACAATTGAAAGTAACTGTGGTAAGTGCCAAACAATATTCTATTGTTGTGAACATGGATGTAAAATACGATTCTATCGATATTAACTTCTCAAAGTCCCTTAAATTATAGCTAGAGCTTTTATTAACTCTTTTGACTTTTAGCCGCATGTTTCAAGGGGAAATTATGATGTACTCCTTTAGAACTATAATGGAATATTTTCTCATGTGGCCATGGTTGAGTATGCTCTTGCTGCGTGCATTTGATGGTGTTGAAAACTTTCATTTGAGTGGAGCGATGCTTAATATGGATAATTAGTGGAGAATAGTACCACATTTGATATAAAACAAGAATTAAGTTTTTAATGCTATTAGTGACCCTTACCATTAGCTTAATTTCTTGTGTTGATGGATGACCATCAATTTGTGTTTCAACTTGGGTCCGCAATGTTTCATCCTTTAACATTTTTGGGCTTAAGTGTTGAAAACTTTACTTATGAGACCAATTTTGAGTTTATTTTCACCAATGTCATTGTCTATGCTACTTTTATTTCAGCTATTTATTTCATTTGGATGTCAAGATCATTTTTTATTATTTTGATTGTCATTTTAGTTACTGTTTTTGAAGTTTGTACTATGCTTTGTTATTGAGGATTCGTAAAATGAATTATGATGCTATTTTACAATTTATAATGATGAATACTTTTTTTTTCCCTTAAATTTGAAATTCTAGATAATGTGTGCTGCTTGAAACTCCTTTATGATGCAATGCTCTGTTCACTTGCAAGGCTTGAGTTTATTGGTTCTTGGTATTTCCTTTTCAATATTACTGTATCATTCATCTATTTTGATATTTCTCTTATCATTATATGTCAGTCTTTCTATTCACGCAATCCATCCTAATGACATAGCTTCACATACAGAGTTTTGAATCGATAATGCCTTACAATTTCATGGGAGTTTTTCCAAATGCAGGGTGCCCGTCTATCATCACTTAACTGTAGGTGATCAAGTTTCTTATAACGAGTAATTTTTTTAGTCAGGGATTGTAGTCAGATTCCCTCTTTCAAATTATGATATGTTTTTATCCTGAATCAATTAATTTGTTTAGCCATGTTTTGATCATTGGATTTGGCCAAAATGTGGCTAGTTGTGCACTATCTGAATAAGTTTAATTTAAAAGTTATTAGCTATATCAAAAGATACATTATTTGATCAAATTCAATTTTGTGACTGTGTACTTTTGAATTATTTCCCTATTTATCTAACTAATTTTAACTGTATGTTCTGTAGGTTGATTTGACCTCATCAATCGTAAAGGTTTATCTAACTCTGAAGGTAATATACTATAGAAGTCCTGTTCATGGAGTCATTTACTGATTGTCACTACCTTTCGGTATGCCCTTTATAAATATTACAAATAATTAGCAGAGTATGATATCCATTGCTATAGCTTTTAAACTGTACTAAAGAAAACAATCATTGGCGGCTTTTATGGTATGGGTGCCACAGATAATCTAAATCTGTTCTTAATACTTGTGTAACTAAGTTATTCTGCTTGTCACTATTGGTACAATAATACTTTTAAGAAATTCTTATCCTTTTTCTGGGACAGCATTTTTATATTTATTTTATTATGGATAACTTTCTCGATGTTTCAGGTAGAAAATTCTGGCGCATCTCATGCTTCAGATATTTTTCTTGCTTTTTCACCAACAGAAACTGAACACTTGGCAATAATAAAAGCTTCTTTACCTGAGGGCAAGCGCAAAAAGAAAAAATATATTCCTCTTGATGTAAATCCCACTGAATTGTCTGAGGCACCAAACGGTGCTAAACTGTTTTCTGTATCTCTAATCAACCCTCTAATGGCTGGAGCAACAGCAGTTATAGAAGTGCTTTACATATTGACTCATTCGCTAGAGCCTTTTCCTGCTGAGATCAGTCAGTCAGAGTCACAATTGGTATACTACCGTGACAGTGCAGTATTACTGTCTCCTTACCATGTTGTGGAGCAGATTATGTATATCAAAACACCTACTAACAAGATTGAGTCCTTTACAAGAGTAGACCCAACTAACCGTGCTGGCACAGAGCTAAAATATGGACATTTCCATGACCATCCGCCATATTATTCTTCCCCAATACTTATACATTTTGAAAATAACAATCCATTTGCGGTTGTTGAGGAGCTTGTTCGTGAAGTGGAAATTTCCCATTGGGGATCCCTACAAGTAAAGGAGTACTATCAATTAAAGCATGCTGGTGCGCGACACAAAGGAGTATTCTCAAGGTTAATTAAGGAACTCTTTTTTCTCAGCATGTTTACTGTTTTACGCAATGGCTTACCAAAAACATAATAATCATACTTTCTATATTCATTTATCTTTTAAATAAAGGAAAAAAAATTTCTTTGGTTCTACAGATTTCATAGTATTAATACTTTCTACTGGAATTTTGGTATTTGTGCCTCCTAGTAGTCATTTATCTAGAAGAGAATTATTTATGGGGTAAATTGAATGTAGGTGGGCTATTTCACATAGGTTAGTGCTTTGAAAATGTTGCAACCTAAGTCAGGATAGGGTTGGTGAGCTACACCGACGACTCCCTTTTACTTTTGCCTCCTATCTCACTTTCACTCTCTTATCCTCTCTCTCTCTAAAAAAAAAAAAAATCTATTCTAAGATTATTGTAGCGATTGAGTACAGTCTCATCTCATCTCAACCTCTATTTTTTACTTTCCAATAATTTACGTGGTGAATCATCTGGGAATTTTGTTATTATACAAAAAATGATTTTTAGACTTGAAAGATTACCACTAATAGTAAAATTTATTTATGTGAATCATCAGGGAATTTTGTTAGGGTGGTGAACTAGTAGTAGAGGTTTTTTAAAATCTTATAATGAGAACTAAAAGAAGAATTTTAAAAATGTGGGCCAAGACATCTTTAGCGGTTAAACTCAGATGTCTGGATGTAATTTATGTGAGATGCACACACTTAAAAAATAATATTTTTATGTTAGTATTTTTATCATTTATTTTGTGTTGAGATCAATATACTATATCTGAGATTTTTTTACCAGATAACTCAGAACTTGCAGGTTAAAACGTCTGAACATGATAGATGTTTTAGGATGTTGCATCATTAATGTTCTGTAAATTAGGCCGTTTTTACTACAGGAGAAAAAATATATATTTTGTGAGTTTTCATTTACAATTGATAACAAGGCATGCCTAGTGCATGGAGATGTTCTGTGTTTTTATATACCATTGATAAGAAGGCGTACTTAATACCAGGGGCGTTAGTTCGAGTTGGTGGGTTGAGTTCTGGCGGACCCATATCCGTCCTATTTATTATACTGGTTAAATTATTTAGCTTGTACTTGTCTCGACCGACGCCCACCTAACTTGACCCATTTAACTCATTTATTATGTGGATGACGCTTTTTATTTTCATCGTAAGCATGTCTCGTTTAACTCGAACAAAACCCGCTTAACCCAAAAATGATAGTTTAACACAAACCGGCCCATTTAAGTCAAACTTGAATAGTATCCAGATCAATTTCGTGTCCATTTTAGATTGTTGATCAACCCAAAATTTAATCGAGTCAACTTGATTCCGCATTTTTTTAATTATGATCTGTGTCGGATTGTTATGTCGGATCACCTATTGACTCCCCCACTTGCTATATGGAGCTCTCATTAATACATGATATGGGGAGGGTTTGATATGGATAACCTTATCCTTGCATTTGCAGAAATGTTCTTTTTTTGACTTGAATTTGAGGCCTTTATAATACATTGATAATGGATTGTTGAAAAATTTATAACTCTCCTTGAAGTTGTTGATTGGATGACTAGCTTTTGCAGATTATTGTTTACATGAAATGATCTTTTGGATTTTAGCGTAAAAGAGTTCTCTTTATTTTCTCTATGTCTAATGCAACATGTTTTAGGTATTGGAACAAAAAATGATCATAAATCACTGAAGAATTAGTAACTGCAATAAAATGTAGGCAACAAAATTGGTGGAAAGATGTGCTGGCAAACCAAAAGGAAACGGAAAGTTGCTGGTAGTTGTGAAGAAGGTTAGGAGAAGATATTTAGTTTTTTTCCAAGGAGATTTTGTTTCTTTTAGCGGCCATTTGGTTGGGTGAAAAGGATTGTAAAGTAAAATGGAATGCAGTGTAAAATGAATGCACAACATTTGGAATATTTAGAGTTTTTTTAATGAGTGTAAACTAACTATAGGTTATTTTTTTGTCTTGAAGTAAAATGAATGTGATAAAAAAACCTAACGGTGGCGGTGGTCGATGGGCGACAACGGTTTGCTACGGGAATGACAGATTTATTGCTTATTTGAAAATTTGCTAAATCTATCAATTTTCAAATACCAAAAATAAATTATAGGGCGAATTTCAAGTTCTGTAATTTTTTTTTTTGTGTTTCTTTTACTTTCAACCAAAACACTAATATTTTCAAATGCATTTTAAATACTTTACATCCCTTTTACTTCAAACTAAACAACTGCTTTGTTTACCTGTTGCAAGATTATGGTATGACGGAACTTATGTCTTGTTTGGTTGTGGTTGCAAGGACAAATCACATTTAAAATAAGTTCAGAAGTAGAGGTGAAGGAAATCATATCAATCGGTTAGAAATACATTATTTCAACTGAAGGTGACGGATCATATGTTGAATATTTCTATTGAAATTATTCATTCAATTTGTTTTACGAGCCAAATTATTTTATATGAACTGAAAAATATAGCCCGAATTTTTTTGAGTGAGGAAATAATTTGTGTTATGCGAGGCGTGTTTAAAACTAGAGCAGGACATCATTTTACTGATAGCCTTCAAAATTACTTCACTCTTAAAATAGCATATTAGTACAAATTATTGTTTCAACCAAGGTAGTAATATTTTCTGTCATTTTTCTCCATTGCTTGGTATTTCTCTTAGTTTGTCCTTTGTTAATTGCCCATTATTTTTGGGTAAACAGCTGGTTTTAGCTGCGGCTTAACCATGATGTTTAACCATGCTTGTAGAGCATCTTCAACATAAATAAATTAAATATAGCTGTTAAGCTCATTGCAAAGCTTGAATGTCTGAAACTTCTGTACTAACTCAATTCTTTGGTGGCTTATTATATGTGCCAACTTCATCCATAGGCTTGAATACCAGGCAAGACCATCTATTAATGGCGCCTCATCATTCAAACAACTTCTTGCAAAATTGCCTCCTAGAGTTAATTCAGTGTACTATCGAGATGCGATTGGGAATATTTCTTCATCACATTTACGCACCGATTATCAAAAGGTAATTTTTGTATCGTTTATTGTTAGATTCCTTGATATCCAATGGAAAAATATTTTTAACATGCAAAGCCCCAAGAATGCTCCTCTCAGCAGTTGTTCCAAAGTATTTTAAAAGGATTAATTTTTCTGTTAAGAAATTAATCCAAGTTACTTAAAATTCTTTTTTGGTTGAGCTGTGGGGTAGGTTTGTTGCCACACCCGCTCTGACTGAAATCTAATGTCCGATAATGCCAATGAACCAAAAAGGGCAATTTAATAATATAGGATAGATTTTCCAAAGGAGCGCAAACTGATTGCATTGGTTAATCGTGCTTTCTTACATCTAGTACATCATCCAAACTTGAAGCTGAAGGTGTAGAATTAATTTCTGTTTTGGCGCTATTTTTTCTTGATCCAAAACAGCAATGATCCACAAAAGAATAAATGAATTTAACTAGACACATTTTAGGTCACATGGACATGGTTGTTCATTTAACTACACATTTGAGTCTACATTGACAAGGATCTTTTTAGTTGGTGTAAATCTTAGATTGGCTTGATTTAGCATCAAGGACTCAACTAAGTAGTAATTGAAGATGCACTGGCACTTATACATGGATATGAACGTATGATGCGTAAGAATTTAATAATATAGGACACAAATATGGATGGATATGATATTTAATATTATTGCTTCATCAAGTCTGAGAAATTGTAATAACTATTTAGAATGTGCCAAGTGGTATTGAAGTATGTCTAAAAGGTGTTCAAGAGGTATACACAAACTTAAAAAAAAAAAAGCGAGACAAGACAAATAGCTTGTCCAACACCATCCTAGAGTGGCTGAGTGTCCGCCGCCCTAGAGTGATATGAGCTTCTTGTTGTTACTTGACGAGAATCTTATCTCATGACATAATTACCTTTTGGAGGGAGGGAGGGAGTGCTTTATGTCTCCTGATAGAAATTTAGGGAAGCTGATAGGGAGGGGGATAGAGATAGAGAGAAAGAGGGTGCGAGAGGGACAGTGGTTGTAAGGGTTAATGTAAGAACTTTTTGAATTAAGACTCTTAATATTTGGGTGGGCATAAAGAGGGTGGTTGGAAACATCAAGGAGATGATAAAATGCATTGTTTACCATGAAAATGATCTCATGTTTTGTGGTGTTGAGGGAGAGAGGGAGGGAAAAATGGTGGTTGGAAGGGTCAATGATATTATGGCATTAACCACCACTACAATGCTCTCATATTTTGTGGTGTTGAGGTGTCAATAATCATGATGGTAGAGAATCACCATGCGAATGGTAACATCCCATCTCAAGTAACGGCTCTTATGGGGTCATAGTTGTCAAAAGTTTCATGAAATAAGAATTGTATGGATATATAAATATTTTAAAGCTATTACAAATTCATCTTTCTGTTACGGATTTTTTTATTGTTTTTGACGTTAATTTTGCTTATTGTTCACATTTGCAGTCAGAACTGGAAATAGAGCCTCGTTATCCATTATTTGGAGGTTGGAAGGCCAGTTTTGTCATTGGTTACTCTGTACCTTTGGAAGACTTCTTGTTTGAATCGCCTGAAGGACAACATTATTTGAACTTCAGTTTTGGATGTCCGCTCTATGACACTCTGGTTGATTCTCTTACTATTAAAGTAAGTTTGTGTTTATACCATTCGTTTTTTTTTCACGTGGGCCATTCACAAGTGTTCAATTTCAGCTTCATGAACCTTGGCACTTTACAAATAACTTCTTTGATATTCCTTGCCCATGTTTTATTTAATTCTCTGTTGAAGGGTTCATGTTGTACATTATGAAAACATCTTTGCTTAATTGACAACTGGAGCCAATTTTGCATATTTGCATAATTGGTACTTTGGAAGCTGTCTCGACAAAGTTGCGAGTAGTTCAAAAATTACTTTTAAACGTTACGCTTTGCATTATGATTTTTAGAAGACTAGAGTTATGAAGACTATCATCTTAATTAACTACATTGAGTTAACCATTCTTGAATGTTGGCAAAATCAATTCAAATGTTAGTTGCAAAGCCAAATCATATGTTTAATTTTATAGAGGAAGGATTCTTTTATAAAGGTGCAATTCCATAGCGCTTCTCAACTCAGGGGCATCGGAAGCACCATACTTTTTTTTGCAACTAAGTGATACTTTGATGTATCTGGATGTACTGTGAAGTAGCTTTGGACTCAAATATCAAACAAGTAGCATGACCTCTTATGAAATTTTTATCTAAATTAAATTTCGATACTTATGGCCAATCTCTTAAGTGAGATATGATTAGCATTCCTACTTACTGGCATGGCAAAAACAACCATTGCATCATTCTTTCACAGAACATGAACTTTTCTGTTTTAGATGTCATATATGTGCCTGGTGCACCATGATTTTCAGCAGTCCTATAAGGTTGAGAACATCTCCATTAAAATGAGGAGGTTGTATTCTTCAGATCTGATATTGATCTCTTAATTTTTTAATGCAAATCTCCTGTAAGATGTAAGAATGGATTCAGAAAGGTCTTAGTAGGCCCCCTAATGATCTATTAATCAAATCAATTAAGCTACCTCAAGCATTATTTAATTACGGTAGATGATTATTTCTCTCTGATTTGAACTCTTTCCTGGCTGGTCGGGGCAATCAAACTCAGTTTTTTGACTTTTTTTTGCACTAGACAACAACTATCTTGCCATGTCGGTCTCTATTCGTTCCTGGGACAACAAGCAGGTAGTCGTTTCTGCCTATAGTGAGCAGGTAGTAGTTTCTGCCCTTGTTTTTCTCCGGTGCATCAAGAAATACTTAGATTTTTCTTAGCTGCGGGTTCAGCTAGCACCTGGAAAACAACAGCGGTACTCCATGGTAGCCACAAAGAGGTCAGCTAACTGCTCTGTAACTGCATGTGAGAGCGGTTACTGGTTCTGGACAGCAGCTGGCTGCAAAGAATTTGATATCCTGAGGTAGGAGCAGCAGTTCTTTGAGGTGATAGAGGTGGCTGGAAACTAGAGAAGAAGAGGGAGGGAGAGTAGGAGAGAATTTTGGGAGAATTATAATTGAATTTTATTGCAGAAATTTGTCCTATTTATAGCAGTTCCTTCAGGTATTTTCCCTCTTTATTGGCAATTACAGAAGGTACTTGTCTTTATCCAACCCTAAGCAAACTCCTTTAATAACTTTATCTACAAATGACAAACTAAATAACTTCATATTAAAGATAATTATGATAATATTTTCCTAATCCAAAATTCAATCACAAATTTGTTTAAAATTTAAAAATCATCATTATCTTGCTGTAGTATTGTATTTTAATCCAATGGTCCAAAATTTTTACTTCTCAATCTTGATTATCAAGCCTCTAATTGATGATCCATCTTTGTTGGTAAACTTTTGGAGATCTCTTCTTCGATCTCATTGGTGTCAGATGAGAATCACTATTTTTTTTATAGCCCCCATTAAGAAGTCAGAACATCTAAAGTCATCATATGATTTGATCTCCTGATCCCTTTACAATCTACTAGCCAAATTGCTAAGAAAGTTTCTTTTATATATTTCTTTGAAATGGAAAGTCAGATTGATTATCTTAGGCCTTGTTTGGTTGGTCGATGTTCTTGAAAAAGCTTGTTTTAAAGCAGTTGTGGAGAAAATGGAGTTTCAGAAATAACGTTATATATAATGGAGTTATTATAAAATATTGTTTGGTTAAATAACTTTTTATGTGCTTATTCAAATTTCAAACTTTAAAATAGATAATTAGTGTTTGGTACAATTAACAATTTTAGCTTTTTCATCATAAATGATGAAACTACCCATATATTAAACTCAAATTTACTTAATATTTTTTACAATTATAATATGACTCACCTACTCATTTTCTAATATTCGTATCTTCTGTAGAAATGGTTCTAATTTTTTAAAGATCAAAATGCAAATCATGTTCCAATAGTAACACTAAAAGAATTAAAAAAATTGGAAAAAATGTTTTAAGTTCAAGAATTAATATACACATTATTAGTTGTTAAAAAAAATAGTGCACTCTGAGTAGCCAGCCAAATGGAGAATGTGGGACATGTAAGGAAGAACGATTAGCATTATTGATGCAGGACTACTTAAATGCGATGATTATGTAGCAATTTAGGCATTGCACAACGCTTAGATTAAAATAAATTCAGGAAACAATTACTTAGCAATTCTCAACGAAGATTCAAAACAAATAAGGAAATGATTTGCTTAAGTGAGATTACATGCTTTGAACTTTGAAGCTTTCAAAATAAATAAGAAAATCACACAACGCAAACAGTAGGCTTCAAATTAAATCCCTAATCTAACAATGAGACGTAGGATGCATAGAAGATTACACTCAATTCCTACAAATGACTAGAAAACCACGAACCCGGCCGTCTCCAAGGTTGGTGGGTGATACGCCAATCTCCCTCTCCAAGGGATCTCTCCAAAACTCTCCAAGAACTCTCAAAGGCTCTCAAACACAAGTGCAAGAAAATTTTCTCATAATCATTCATTAGCTCAAAACAAAGAAAATGAGGCTATAAATAGCCTGGTACAAAGACTCAAGAAAATAAAAGACCAACTTGCCCTTTGGGCTTACATGCGACCACTCCCATGAAAGGGGTACAAAGGGAAATAATAACGACACCTAAGCAAATAAGAAAATGCATAAATAAAATGAAATACAGTCATGACTCAGAAATACAAGGACTCGATCGTGGCCGTAGATCGGCGGCCACGTCACTGAAAAACCTTCCACGCTGATCTGATGTCCCCATCAATTATGTATCAGCGAGTGTTGAAGAAAGTGGCTAAGAAGAAGGTTGAAGTCATTTATTGATAGAATTTGATGGTAAAGAAACGGGTGGGAGGTAGGAATGATGAATGTTGCCGGTAGAAGAAATATGTGGGTAGGATTGGCGAATGGGGCAATCGGAGAGGAAATCTGCCGATAGAAAGATGGAAGAGCAAGATCGATGCTTGTGGGGCGAGGTAAAGTTGTATTTGCTCAAATAAGAGAGGGCATACTTATGGATGACGAATGTTGCCAGAAACGAATGGATGCGAATGGGATTGGAGTTGTATTTGCAGGACAAAGCGGGCTGATAAAGATAGAAACGAGCAAAGCAGGAAGGAGGAGGTGTGGAAGGCGCTGTAGAGGAATCTCCAACAAATTTCTGAGGTGATTTTTGGCCCTGTGAATGGGATACGATTTCCAGCCTCGTTGAAGCTGTTGTGGCGGTGAATGAGATCCTCGAAGAAGAGGATACGTGAGTTTGTGCGTGTCGTGCGAGGGTAAAATAAAGAAAACACGAGAGCAGTTCGCAGAACGCTCTGAAAATGGCGCTCACTTTTCGCCTTCACATTTCTTGGTAAAACATCGGTATTAAGAACGTAATAAGAAAAAGCGGTTTTATCAAACAATTTTTTTTCTGCTTTAACATTGGAAGATGGAAGAAGCACTAAAAACGGACAAACAAACGAGCCCTTATTCATGATATAATCTTCAGATTTTATGTCTCCTTTTAGGATGATTTCACTTATGTGAATCATAACTTTAGGTGGAGGAAGGTTAACTATCTAACCTCTCACTTATTTTGTTGTATTTGACAACTAATCTTTCATAAAATTTTTAAGATATTTAAAATTTTATTTTGAATATTTGTATTTTGAGTATCCTGTATTATGGAGCTTGGGTAGCATTTTATTTTGTAGGAGCTTTTTGAGTTAGAGTTCCATCTTGTGTTCCTATTCGCTCTTGCAAATATAAAAATTCATACATCAGGTAAACTATTTGGTTTGAATTATTTTTAATAATAATATATTCTCTTTTGATCTTTCCAAGATTGACGAGATATTAATGTTTTTTTACTCTTTTTCTTGCTTGAATTGGCAAGAGATCGCCTCTTTAAGCTCCTTTCTTAATGGATGTTTCTTTATTTGTGACAACTTTTACCTTTTTGCTCTTTTGGAAGACATTTTCATCTTTTTTTCTTGGGATGTCTTTGGTAGTTGAAGGTACGCCTTTGTGTAACTGTAAACGGTCTTAGCCACTCATTGACCACATTCATTATGGTTGAGTCAATCTTAATGGCCAAGTTTTAGTACATTGTTCATCTATCTCTACCTTGGTTGAGAGCTTTAGCCCCAACTATAGATCTAAGGGTTGCACCTTGGCTTATGTGTGTGCGTGTATGTTTGTTTGTGCTTCAATACCCAATTTCCTTAAATGTTTTAGGCACGTTGGCAGTTGTGTTGAAGATAGGTTGCATGTCTTGCTTTATGGACCTTTTTGGTGGCAGTCTTTGAGCCTCCTTGAAGAGAGTGGTGCATGTTTCTCATTTAACTACTGCATCTTCATGTTACCTTCCTAGCCTAAAACAAGGAGAGCATGACTTCTCCTGTCTTCTTCAACGGCATTGTCCAACATCAATAAGAATTTATGATATTGCATTAATATGTTTGCTTGCTTGTCTTGTTGTTGTTATGTCTGTCAACGATGCGCCGCAATCTTTTTTTAGCCTAAAAATTTTTTCCCTGTGAGTTGATAGGTCACTAATTTAGTATTGCTTACCTATCATGAATGTATGAGCTATTGAAGATGACTTACCTGATATTAAGTGGAATCAACTAACATACCATC